GTCTCTGGCCGAAGGTGCAGTCCATCATCGTACAATCCCGTTTGTAGTGTCCCTCCTGTCCACATTGGTAGCAAACCACCTTGGGCGCCCCTTCCGGTGGGGAAATCCCCGGTCCGGTCTCGGTCGCTCGATCTACCCTAGCTTCGGTTGGGGGCCGGCTCCACCGTGGTGCCAGCCTCCTTTCCGGGAGGGGTCCTAAGGGTCCTCTTCGTCCCTCACCGCTACGTAGGGGTCCGGCGAGTTTCGGCGTGGTCGGCTCGCCCTTCCTGGCCTCCCGTTGCTGGCCACCGGCGGGCTTCCCTTCTACCCCCTCCGCAGCTAAAAAGTGTTCCATCAAGGTCACGGCTTTGTCCAGGGTCTCTGGTAGGTGACGGCGTACCCACAGCTGCCCTTCCGTGGGGAGAATTCGAATACACTGCTCCAGGATAACCATATCAGCCACCTGGGTCCCTGTCTTATTCTCGGGCTCGAGCCATCGCGTCCCTGCCTCCTTCACCCGCTGCGCCACCGCTCGCGGTCGTTCTTGTGGGTCGTACCTGGCCTCTCGGAACCTCCGCCAGCGTGTCTCCGGGGTAACCCCTAGTTGGTCGAGGACCGCTTCTTTCACCTTATAATAACACAACGTGTCCCACGTCGACATCCCATGGTATGCCAGCTGGGCGGGTCCTGAGAGATATGGTGCGAGTAGGGTCGCCCAATGTTCCTGTGGCCATCTGGCCGCGGTGGCCACCCGCTCAAAGGTGACCAAGAAGGCCTCCGGGTCATCATCCGGTTCTAATTTCGTTAGCCGTATGGGCAGCAGGGCCCCTCTCTCCTCATCGGCTCCCGGGCATCTGCTGCTGCTGCTGCACTTTTTGGGTCTCCGTCCACCACTCTATGATCCGGTTGGGTTCCATCTCTTCTGAAATTCAAATTCGCATTAACGCTTTCTACCTTCCCCACTTTAGACCCCTGTTTCGGGGTCTCCTGCCCACGTTCTCCACCATGTGTAAGGTGCCCCGTCCCGGAAGGAGAGGGTGGAGGGGGAGCCCCCCCTTTTAACCGTCCTATTGCCGGGCGCGCCCCACCTATCGCTCAAGGGTTTTGTAATCCTCGCTAGTCTCACCATGCTATGCCACGCACGGATTACACCGCTGCCTATTCAGCGGCCACACACTCGGGGAAGGGGGAGTGGAAGGGGGTCCGGGCCCGCCCTCGCTCCGGACCCCAACCCAGGGCCCTAGAGTCAGGACACTGGTCCTCACTCACAACGGGGGGGGGTCTGCGAACCCTAAACTCCCCCGCTCACGGGTTCCGCGGCCCCGCCCTGGGTCACTTCTTTCTCTCCCCGGTCCGTTCTCCATTATCCTCGGCCCCCTGGGTTTAACCTCACCCAGGGCCGCCAGTACCCGGTCTCCCACGGATCCTCCTGGGCTGCCCTGTCCCTCCACTTGCTGCCCCTCACCAGGCGAGCGGCGGCTATTTTTTAAACCCCCCCCCGACGCCGGGGG